AAAAAAAAAAAAAAAAAAAAAAATCTAGTAAGCAATACCATACGATTAAACATAAAATTACAAATGTGATCAGAGCTACACTTTATGAGTATAAGCAGAAGCAATCACAAGTTATAGGAGTCAGAGCTTGTTTGGGAATAAATTCACTACAGAAATAACATTAGTACTACATTCTGTCTAGGAATTTGCCCAGCGAAACTAAGAGGAAGAAGGCAGCACATCTATAAATAGGAGGTGCTGGGACAAGAGAGAGAATCTGAGCAGCTGTCAGAAAGCTGGTGGTTGAGATCTGGTGAAAAGGGAAGCCGGTGTGAGGTGGGGTTTGGAAAGACACTAAGGGACAACGCAGAGTAGGACCTTCCAGTCCAAGTTACAAATTCTGCTTTCTTCACAATGAGCAACATGAAATTTACAGAGTTGTAAGTAAGAAAGCCACTTTATCAGTTTTGACATTCTTAATATCTTAGATACCTCTGATATTTTCTAAATGACAAATGCTGCTAATATAATTTATCTCTAGTGAACAAACAAAACAGGAAATTAATAGGGAATAAACTCAAAGGGGGTTGGAGTAAATGACTGAGGGGAAAACAGCAACAAAACTGCATCCAGAATTTTAAAAATCACTGAATTTTTAATGTTATTTCTGTGCTTTATGTAATTGTTATTACAATTAAATAAAGAAGGCAGTGTTTAAGATACCTCAGTATCTGTTAGTGAAGTATTTCCATGCACTTTAACAATGGAAGAATTTCTTTGGTCTTTCAGATTTTATTTGGGTTCTGCACTGTAAAGGCTTCTCTCATCACAGTCAGAAGGAATAGCCTGTTAAAATGAAACTTCTCAGTTGAACGTCTGAGAGTGTTTCAGCTAAGTGCTCCTTATTTAATGCACGCTGGCAGATTTTGACATGTAGGACTTATCACCTTTTACAGAGCCTCAGCGATTGAGATTTTTATCTCCAATTTACCCTGGGCCTTAGTTAATTTTAGATGCCAAGCTTTTCAGGATTGCTTGTCTTTTATTTCCCTTGGGTCTAACAAAAATGTTACCTTCAATCTTCAGGCTATGTTGAATTTCTTTAAAGAACTTATCTAGAATGAACTCAGTCTTTATTATTCACACATAAATGCCTTGTTCTATGAAATATAACTAGTACCTGTTAGATTTCTGATGTTCTTTTAAACAAGAACAGAATTAAAATTGGAAAAATGTTGTGTGTAATATAAGCACACTAATGATAGTAATAATGAGTCATAAGTGATGGGTCAACAGATATGTATTCAGTTAAGAAACTAGAGAAACAAAGGAAACATTTCTTCTTTCCAGTACAGTTGAAAACTTGAGCACGAAGCATTTTCGTCATATAAAGCATCTCTGTGAACCACTGTATTTCAGTGTCGACTCTGTGATTTGTGAATCTCTTTATATTCACATAGATAGAGCATTCATAGTAATTTCATTCTCATGTTTCCGAATGTCAGTATTTATAGATCAGGAAACAAACAGAGAGAATCAAATCTCTGCTGTGATATATTTGGAAAATTTCCCCACATCATCTGAACCCCCCCTCTATATTTTTCAGTATCTTATAATATGATAGGGCTTCTATTTCCAAAAGTGTATTCCCTTGAAATTCAGTAAAAACCTTTAGAAATTTTAAGAAGTGAAAATGGAAAGCTGACAGTCTAAAGACTGATATTCTCAGTGGTTGCTCCAGGCTTTTACAAATCATTATTTTCTGTTAGACATGCTTTGCCTTGAAGAAGAAGGTAATTAGAAACCTGATAATATTAGCCAGTGCAAATTGGATTATTCCCTTGCTGCTCTTACTTATTAAATGCACAACAAATGACTTCATATTTCATTATCAGGAAATGAGTTTGTTCAAATTTCTGGCTTGAATTAAAATTATCGCATGTCAGCACCAAAAAACCATTCAATACCCATTGCAAAGATCTTCAGCAGAATCATAGCTGTGACTTCTAAGTCAAGGTCAATGCAATTTCTATCCGCAAAGACCACAGTAGCTATTAGTTATGAAAAATAAGAAGCTATTACCTGCTCCTCTGGTGTGATTAAAATCCCCTTTGATGATTTTGCATGATTTTCCATTACCATTGCATACCCCACAGTGATCTTCCCTTGCAAGAGACCCTAGGAAACCATCACAACCAACTTTCTGTAAGAAGAGAATGACAGTGCAGCATTAATTAAATATTTCCTTTTTGATTCAATATTTTCTTTCCATTTTTAAGCAACAAATTTAGGATGAACCTAGTTGCTACAACCTAGACATAATTAATGGGAAAACTAGAAAATGCCTTATTCTCTGATGCAAACTCATAAAGCAAGCTCATGTCAAATAACATAATCTATTAAATGACAAAACTTCAGGACAGTGTGAGAGTATTTTTTTGTATTAAATATTAAATAATATCCTAAAGTAATTTGGAAAAAAATATTGAGGAAAATGAAATTTATATAAATTCACAAATAAATCACATTTCTACTACACATAACATGGTGTATCTAATTAATTCTACTCAACATAGATCAAAGATACTTTGTCGATGACTTCATTTCTAAAGTATTTGTAAAACAGATGATAAATATTAAGTGTTAGATTTATGGAAAACTGAAATCAAATATTTATTTTCACCGCAGTTCATAGATAAACATCTATTACCATCTTCGTTAGCACTCAGCAATAAATGTAATACCACCTCATACATCTGATATAACAAAATATTAATAGCTAAAGAATTAATTTTTATATTCTCTCAGTTGAATTATCAGTGGGAATATTCTGAGATCCAATCAATTGACTCTTTTTCTAGCAAATAATGTTTATCTTCCACTGATGCTAAGAAAGTATGATCCTATTTTTTCAAGCTGTGCATCCTCAGAACTCAGAATTCAGCATGTTAATACTGTCCAAAATAAATGATTGGCTCACACAATCCCTCCTAATCAAAACTGATTCAGAAGATGAACTGTTGCTAATTCATTTAAGATAAATTCTCATTATTTTAGAAAAAACTTAAAATATTAGGTAAAAAAGAAACAAAACCAGGTCCTTGGTTGTGATTGGTGTTGGTGGGGTTGGGGTTGGGGAAGCAATCGGATTTAAAAGTGCAGCTCTGAAAAGCCTGTGTGGTGGTGCATGCCTGTAATCCCAGCACTCAGGAGGCTGAGGCAGGAGGATTGATGTGAGTTCGACACCAGCCTGAGCTACATAGTGAGTGCCAGGTCAGTTTCAACTACATAGTGAGACCCTGTCTCACCCCCCCAAAAAAAAAGAGTAGCTCTGGAATGAATATCTTGAGGTAGTAAAAATCACATTGAAACTGCACATTACAAGGCTCCTTTCTCGGGTCCAAGAGCCCATCAGTGTCAGAGAACACCAAACTGCATGAACAGAGAGCTGTGAGCAGCCAGTCAGAGCTTACTCAGGGGGAGAGAGAGAGAGGGTCTGCCCTACATGAGAGAAGCCGTCGTCACCAGAAATGCTCAGAACTTATGTGAAGAGGATGCTAAGCAGGAGTCAGGAAAAAAAACAAAAAACCCTGGGAATTCTATTAAGAATAAATGTGTGAAGGGCTGGGGATTTAGCTCAGTGGTTCAGTGTTCTGCCTTGCAAGAGCAAGGACCCGAGTTCAATCCCTGATACCAAAAAAAAAAAAAAAAAAAAAAAAAAAGGGTGAAG